TCTCTCTCTCTCTCTCTCTCTCTCTCTCTCTCTCTCTCTCTCTCTCTCTCTCTCTCTCTCTCTCTCTCTCTCTCTCTCTCTCTCTCTCTCTCTCTCTCCCCCCCCTCCCCCCTCCGCCCTCCCAACGCGTCTCGCCCCCGTCCCCCCGCCCCCGCCCCACGGCCACCACCCAGCCAACAGCAGTCACCACACTCCACCCGCACCACAGCCACCACCCCCACCCCTCACTCCCCCTCCTCACCCCCACCACATCATACACCACATGCTACGCGTACGTGTACCGCTCCTCCTCCTTTCCCCCATTCCCCCCCCCCTCTCCCACCCCGCTGACCCGCCCGACTCACTCCCCCCCCATCCACCCTCTCCGCAGTCCGCTACCACCAGTCTTCGGCTGGTCCGGACGGCTACAGCGACTGCTTCTGCCGCTTCTGCTGCGGGTGCGTTGTCTATGAACAACACCATGCCTGTTATGGCATACTCTACGTCGGGCGAGGAGAGCAAGGCTGATGAGGTTGGGGCTGATGAGGTTGGGGCTGACGACCTTGCCCAAGTCATTGACGTCCTCGGCTCGGACGACTTGCCGCACGCCCCGCTGCCGAGCTACGACTTGTCTGATCCGCTCGGGGCTCTCGAGCCGGAGCTGCCCCCGCTGGATGATCTGTGGCAGGAGCATGTGCTGGCGGCCAACGCCAAGAAGGCCACAGAGATGACTGCCCACGAGTCGGAGCAGCTGGAGCGGCGCAAGGCCAAGACGCTCGATGCGCTCGGCCGGGCGTACGGGACCGGTCGTCGCAAGACCTCGATCGCCCGGGTTTGGGTCGAGCCTGTTGCCCATCCGGCCGCCCCGCAGCCTGCAGACGTGCTGGTGGTCAACTCGAAGCCGCTGGCCGACTACTTTCCGGCCATGCATCACCGCAACCACGTCATCGAGCCGCTGAGGCTGCTGGGCAAGCTGGGAGCCTTCAAGATCCGCGCCACCGTCAAGGGCGGTGGCCACACCGGCCAGGCCGGCGCCCTTCGCCTCGGCATCTGCCGCGCTCTCGAGATTGTCGACCCCGCGTTCCGCAAGCCGCTCAAGGCCGCCGGCATGATGACCCGTGACCCGCGCATGGTCGAGCGCAAGCTTGCCGGCCTCCGCAAGGCCCGCAGAGCCCCGCAGTGGGTCAAGCGCTGATACCCATGCCTGTGCATCTACCTGCCTGTGTGTCATAAACGAAGCATGTGGCTCGGACTTTACTCAACCGCCGGACCGGCGCCCTGCTTGGCCCGCGCCTCGGTCCACGCCTTGCCGATCGCCTGCTTCATAGTGTCGTCGCCCTCGTCGTACATCTTGCGCATCATGTTCATGATGGCGGCGCTCGGATCTTCGCCGGCGTCGGCCTTGCCGGGCTTGAGCGAGCCCAGGCCCGAGCTCTTGGCCTTGAGCGAGACCCAGTGCTTGGTCTCGCTCTTGCGGAGGACAATCCGCATCTTGCCGCCCGCCTTGCGCTTGACGGCGCACTTTGACGGAGTGATCTCCTCGGCTGGAGTGAACCGGAGCCGAACATGCCGCTGGCCACCGGCAAGGCCCAACACCCGCACGTCAACCTCATCGCGCCGGAACTTGGCCTCGATCTGCTCCTCGCTCACCTCGTCGAGGCCATCAAGGCCGGACAAGTACACGGTCACGTTCTTCCCGCCCTGATCCCACGCCAGCTTGTTCACCGCCTCCCACACGACAGCGTCGCCGTCATCGGCCACCTCCATCGGCACACTCTGGGCCGCCTCGGCATCGTTGGCGATATCGCTGGCGGCGGCCGAGGCTGCCATCTCCTGCGCCAGCCGCTCGCGAACCAACCCCATCTCCCTCTCCAGCACGTCGCGGACCGCCATCCGCTCGCTCTGTCGGAGCAGCCGTTCCAGCTCGGCAAGGTCTGCTTGCAGGCTCTCCACCACGCTCATCGATGTCGGTCTTGGTACTGCTCGAGGTGCTTCAAGTCAAGTATGCCGTCGCCTGGCTGGCTTGCCTTCACGAAGCCGCGACCTACCAAACCGAAACCGAATCTGAGCCCGATCGCAACAGAAACCCCACCATACCACGGATCATCTGTTTGCCACCAAACCGGTTTGTTCAGCACGGATCAAGCGGCAAACAACACTCAGAGCAGCCTCATGCGGCCCATGCCCCACTCAACCCCCCCCCCCCCCCCCCCCCCTTCCCCCCCCCGGTGCGTCAGATCGATCACCAGCTGATCGATCACCACCCGTGAACGGCCACCACACCCCACCCTCTGCACCCCCTCCACCCCCCTCCACCGCCAGCAGCCGTGGCATGGGACTGTTTCGCCGCCTCACGCGCCAGCTGGTCAAGACAGAGACCAGTGGGCAGCAGCCGCACCCACCATTCAGACCGAGTCCTGTGCAGCAGGAGCAACACCAACGACGACGACGACGACGACATCGACGACGAGAAGGAGCAGGTGCCGATGGTGTCGTGTCCGGGAAGGCCGCTGCGGGTGGCGGAGATAAGGAGGAGGCTGGGGATCGGGTGCTGAACCCGCCGCAGCATCCGATGGTGACGGTCGGGAACATGCGGAGCTTGTTTGCTATCATGCTCGCCGAGCTCCCCACCGTGACCCTCACCAACGTCTACGGATCACACTCGGGCGTGTGGTCGGCGGCAGACGTGCTCGCCTGGCTGCGGAGCACTGATCCGACGGTGGCACACGCTAGCACGCCGCGCCACGCTCATGAGTGTCCCGCTGCAGCCATCTCGCACCTGCATGCAAACGACGACGCGTGGCACATCTCGGTGTCGGATCTGGCGGCAAGTGCGCGCGAGGCTGCGGTCCTGCCGGCGGGGGCTAGTCCGGCATCAGACTCGGAAGATCTTGCCGTTGAGGAGTCGCTCTGGGTGGCGGCGATGGCTCATCTACTGGTTGTCTATAGCGCCCTGATCCCACTCGAGTCGGAGCGGTTGTGTGTCCCGCTGAGGAATGCGCACGGCGATCTGTACTTTCCCAACACTAGCGGGCCCGATCTGGTGCCACGGGCCATGCTCCAGGCAGCGCTTCCGTCCCCGACCCACCCCGGAGTGGTGTACACTCAGAGTGTGTCGGCGTCGGCGCTCTCGCTCACGTTTGCGGACACGCTGGTCGACGCGCTGCCGCGCAAGGCAATCACGGTGGCGTTCCGGCGGATGGACCAGGTAGTACGCGGCAGCGACGTGGTGGCGCTGCTAACGCGGGCGGCAGCAGCAGTGGCGACGCTGGCCGGCAGCGGCGGGACTACCCACCGCGAGTCGAGCCCGTTCGACTACCTGCGTCTGCAGATGACGCCGATGGGGCTGTGGCCGAGCGAGGCAGTCCCAGCGCGGGCGGTCGAGCCACTGGTGGCAACGCTTGTGTATGCTGTTGCGCAGAACTTGATGGCTATGAACGTGCTGCGGCATGTCTTTGACAAGCCTGTCTTTGTCGACGACGGCGTGTACAGCGTTAACCCGCGCGAGTGGTGGCGCCCTCTGGCGCGCAAGCGAGTCAGCATGCCTCCGCTCGCTGCGCTAGAGCTCCGCAACCTAGCAACCGAAATCGCGCGCGTATTCCGCCCTGCGCCGCATCACTACGCCAAGCGGTTGCACCATGACACTGTTCGCGGTGCACACCTTGCGTCGTGGCTGACAACGGCGCGGTTTGCGAGCAGTCGCTTCCACGCAAGCACGCTCGCCTGCCAGCTCCTTACCGCCGGCTACCTGGTGCCAGTCCTCCCATCGGCCGTTTTTCACGACGATCCGAGTCTCTACCGGCTTGCGCCGCTTGATTCTGTCGACGCAGCCGAGACACCGCGCGAAAACGGGCTGCTGATGGCGGCAACGGCGCGGGCGGCGACCGAGGGCCAAGTCCAAGGCGGCGGAGAGCTGTCGGACACCAAACACCTTGCGTCGCTCCACGGCTCGCCGATTGCGCACACTGCGGCTGCCACCATCCAGCGGTGTTTCCGCAAGTACCTTGCGCGGGCGCAGGATGCGCTCACGGCCGACATTTACGACGCCGACGCGTTCCTGGTACTCTCGTCGGTCGAACTGCCTGCAGTGAAGGCCGGGCGGGTCGACGAGCAGATTGAGGCTTTTTCAGCGCTGCTTGCCTCCAAGCTCGCCGAGACCGATCGGTTAGGCCGGCCGCAGCGCCACTTTGAGGCGGTGGCTCGCGAGCAAGTCGAGCGGCTGCTGCGGATGGAGTCGATCAAGCTGCAGCGGACAACCGTGCTACAAGCCAAGATCCAGCGGGCCGACGCGGCGCTGACTGCCAAGCAGCGTGAGGCAGCGTTTGTCTCGCTCTGCGCAAGGCAGCAGCGAGCATACCTCAAGGTAGCCCGGCTCCGGAGCCGGCTAGCCGACTATGCGGCGGAGAACGAGTCTGAAGAGGCAACCGCACGCCGAGCAGCACAGCAGCGAATGCGATACACAATGCTCGCGCGAGAGGCGCGCATCCTGCACGAGGCCGCGACCGTCGCCGGTGCGGCCGATGGGCCAAGGCTGCCGGCGCAAGTGGCTGCGCGACTGCTCGCGCCGCCTGGCCCGCCCGGCTCTGGTCGCCGCAGCGCCCGGAGACGACGGCGGGGTCGGGCGCCGGCACGGCCGGCGCCGCGGTCGCTACCACGGCTGAATCAGGCCCGCAAGGTGCCGACGCCGCTCCCGCTTCCGCCGCTGGTGCCAGGCTCGTCGCCAAGGGCGCGCCGAGCGCGGGCGGCGGCAGTCAAGAAGGCGGCAGCCAAGAAGGCGCGCCGCGAGCGGGCGGCCACGGCGGCGCGGCACGCAGCCAAGTGGCGGGCGGGGTTCTGGCAGACGGCGTGAGGAGCGGCAATGCTACGCCGGAAACCACGCGCCGAGGCGGACGTTGCGGAGTGCCGAGTCAGCAGCCAGCTCCTGGAGCGAGGCACCGAGACCGGCGGCAGTCAGGCCGGCGGCGGTCAGACCAGCGCGGGCGGCGAGACCGTAGACGTAGCGCGGGAGGGCGAGGAGCGAGGCGAACGAGTCGACGTGGACGCCTAGGACCCGCAGGCCGCCGCGGCAGAGAGGGCAACGGCTTGCAGCCGGCGAGCCGGACTCGAACCAGCGGTTGAGGCACTCGTAGTGGAAGCCATGGCTCGGCACGTCGCAGAACGTGTACAGCACCTTTCCGACGTCGGCGTCAGCCACACCCTGGCAGATTGGGCACTCGGCGCTCTCGTCGCAAGCAGCGCGCGAGGCGGGGACAAGATGCACGTCTTGGTAGCCGTACATCATCCGGGCGATGAGGCTCTCCTCGGCGGCCACCAGCGCGAGCCACATGGCAGGGATGACGCCGAGCCAGAGGGTGCGGACGCTAGCCCAGCCGCCGCGCCACAGCGAGGTCCAGCGCGAGCCAGCTGTAGAGCCGACGCGACCCAGAAGGAGCGCCGGATGGACCGAGCCGCGGAGGACAGCGTTTGAGCCGGCAGCGTAGACATAGACAAAGATCCACAGCAAGAGGTAGAGGCCCGCCAGATACGATCCGGCGAGGGCCACCGTCTGCCTTTGGGCGAGGGCGCGGTCCATGCGAGGGTAGAGGAGGCGGACAAAGCGGTACCAGAGCGAATCACGGACTCTATCATCCTCAGCGAGTGCGTCTCCACCGCCGCCGCCACCGTCACGTCCGGCGCGGCCTGCATCGTGGACGCAGGCAACCGCCACGGCCTTGGCTGCGAGGACGGCCATGCCAGCGACCAGAGCCTTGCGCGAGGCCGACGCTGCGGCCGACGACGCCGCCGACGGGCTGAGCAGCCGCACCGCCGCACCGGTGGTGCCTAGCAGGAGTCTTATGAGGTGGCTGCCTCTTGTGGGCATGGAGGCTGGGGGGGGGGGGG